TTTTTTTGTTTTTTTAATTTCCTTTTTGTTAATCTCTCATATGCTTAAATGAAAACGAAGGAATTTTTGTTCGTCTTAGAAGCTGAAAACTAAATACTATATTATTTTTTATATGTATATGTATACACAATGTTACTAAGTGAAAACGAAAACAAAAGAAAAATAAGAAGAAAAAAATGCGCCCAGGTACTGCAGGTGTGCAGCCAGGTGGGTAGCCAGGACCTACGATCTGATTGGCAGCCCGCTACCCACCGCCCCCTGTTTGGGTTTTTTGTTGTTTTTTGTTTTTTGTTTTTTTTTTTTAATGCAACCTAATTGTGATGATGTGATAGACTTATAAAAAATACTAATTAATAACCAATTTAAAAACACACAAAAAAAGAGAAGAAGAAGCAAAGAAACTAAGAAAGAAGAAAACAAATGAAGTAACAGCGACAGAAGCCAGACAACGGCTGAATTTATATGTTATGTATTTGTATTATTGTCATGTATATGTATATATATGCATTTATATATGTATGTATGTATGTATATATATATAGACAATGTCTGATGATGGCTAAGCCAACAATGCCAATACTTTATGGCTATTAATATGTATTATGGATGACATGAGGCAAACATTCTTTTTTTTAAGAAATAAAACCTTCAAAGTGCGATATTTGTATTGTATTACCTATAAGTTGTTGTAAACACACACACACAAACACACACCCACACACACATTTATAGACGCGCATATCCATACAGAGTTAAACGAAACAATGAAAACAAACAAAAAAAAGAGAAAAAGTTGAAACTGATAAAATTTAAGCGTAAAAAAAAACTGAAAAGATGCAACGAAGAAAATAACAACAAAAAAATTGAAAAACAACAAAAAAAAAAATTGTAAAATTTGACTGCAACTTGTAAAGTTGATTTTTACACTCAGTATCTCTCTCTCTTTCTCTCTTACACACACACATATAATTATTCTCTGTTTCTGAAACTATTTCAATTACTGTGTCTGTCTCGGTCTCTCTCCCTCTCTCTCTTATCTATATATATATGTGTATATATTTTTACAAATATATATGTATGTACATATACAAAGCTGATATATAGAACATATATTTTTGAAAGTATGAAAAATGCAAATTTTTGAGAAAAAAAAACCCAAAAAGTAAACAAGCAAATTTGTGCAACGTAACGTCACGTAATTAGAACGTAACGTAACACAACGTATCGCGAACATTTCGTTTTCGTGTTTTTTTTAGTAAGTCAAAAAAAGCAAAGCAAAGCAAAGCAAAATAAAAAATATAAAAAAAGAGAAAAATACAAAAAACGCAACAAGCAGCCAAAATAAGATGAAACAATTTAACAAAAATATATGCCGTTATTATATAAATATGTATTTTGATAATCAAAATCATTTTTTGTGTGTTGTTTACTTTGCTTCAAGCGTCGTGTATATCTTATGTTTAAATCACCGTTTTGTTTCTCTCTCTCTCTATATATATATATATATACATATACATATATATGTATATGTATATGCCTTTATATGTATGTAT